TGTGCACAAAAACACTCGCTACAAAATATACGCACATAAGTTATAGTACAAAAGCACGCACAAAAGTACTCACGCAAAAGTGTAATCGGACTGGTAATCTTGAAAACACAAACTACAATCCTAGGACATTAATACATATCAACAAACATGCACAAACACACTCGCTCAAATGGATATGCACAAATGTACATGTAAAAAAACATGCGCAAAAGTGCATTCGCAACAACCTTCTTAAAAACACGAAATACAACACCAGGACTTTAATACGAATAACCAAACAATAGCAAAAACACTAGATACAAAAGATACAGTGGAGTTTAGAAACAACACTCGACGTTTAAGTTTACGTGGATTAATTTATATTTCTGTTATAATTGGTGGATTCAGTATTCTATAGGTACAAATTGATAATTAAGTGTCAACAAAGCAAAAATGATCAAAGAGTAAGAAAAGAGTTGCAATTAGGAAAATCAAATCAAATTAGAAGAGAGTATCCCTCAACATCTTCTGTAGTGTCCACGAAGTCGAGCATAACTTTCTCATTCGGACTCCAAATCAACTGGTTCCGGCGGCATTAGAAAGCTATTTTAGCGAGCTACAATTCCTGTCTAATGTCAAATTTCCAAATTCGGACTCGAACATAGTCAACATTGGATTCCAAAAGAGATCATGAAAATACGTGCTACAGTACGAGGACACGAATACGAATCAATAAACGTGCACAAAAACACTCGCTACAAAATATACGCACATAAGTAATAGTACAAAAGCACGCACAAAAGTACTCACGCAAAAGTGCATTCGCAAAAATGATCGTGAAAACACAAACTACAATCCTAGGACATTAATACATGTACACAAACATGCACAAACACACTCGCTCAAATGGACATGTACAAATGTACATGTAAAAAAACATGCGCAAAAGTGCATTCGCAACAACCTTCTTAAAAACACGAAATACAACACTAGGACTTTAATACGAATAACCAAACAATAGCCAAAACACTAGATACAA